TCTTCACCGCGGGGTCGGTGTTTCAGCAGCACTTGGGCGAGGTACGACCTCACGCATGAGGTGCGACGGGACGCTTGCTGTGACATCAGCTGGGAGGTGTGAGATGCGGGCTGCCATCGTGTTGACCTCGTACCCTGGAATTGTACCAAACCCTCACTGAGAGAGGATGTGTCGTAAATCAGGGAAGCCTCTCCTTGAAAATAGCCGATGGTGGCGAGAAGGTGTGCCCTGTAAATGTGACTTGTTCCTGTGCAGGTTCACATGGCAGGCACGAACCAAACATCTCCTTCCCCATTTCTGGGACTGAATAGCTGCAAGCATCTTTGTGTCTTCTCCAGAGAGGATTCTCAGGCCTGATTAACTGGCAGAACAGAAGATGTCTGCCTCTAGGCACTGAGAAGGTAGTACCGGAGAATATCCTTCTAGGGAGGCTGTGCTGGGAGGGCCAGAACTCCCAAAATGATTGTGAGAAAGCCTGATAAAGGTGTTGCTGACTTTGCCTTACTCCCTCCTGTTTTTATTTTGTCTTCCAGTTCCTCACGCAAGCCTGACTGCCATGCCTGGGCACTGACATTTTGGGGTACAGCTGTTTAAAATGGCAGAGAGAGATGGAAATGAAGAGGTAATTAACTTGAACAGCTTCCGTAATCACAGAGGGCAAGGTGAGTATCGACTGGTGCGTATTTCCCAAACTCTTATTTGTAAAACTCTGTGTGCAAGCAGCAGGATTTGTAGATGGTGAACTTGCAAGAGTTCTGTTGATGGGAGCCTGCTGGTGGTCTGGTTTGCCGTGCCGTACGCTGCTCTTCACAGCCGCCTACAGAAAATTTTCTCATTTTATGCTGACATGCAAAATATTTGGCTCTTGTCTTTCTCGTGTTGTACTGCCTGAAGGCAGATCGCTGACTTCTTAGCAACACCACGGAGAGGTATTTCTGTAAGTCTGCGGGGCTCGTGGTGGTCTCCTCTTCTGAGGGCTCCTAGGAGAGAGGCTGCCTCTGCGTTCATATCCTCACAGGGCTCTGCGCGTCGGCACCCGCTCCTCCAAGAATGGAATTAAAAATTTTGTTTTCTGTGTATGCCTGAAAGGTGGTAAATGAATACTCATGAATACTTATGCTAAAGCATAAGCCAAAATGTATCAAATCATAGGAAAAGCATGGTTGTATACTGTCTCTGCAGTACAGAAACCCACTGGTTTTGGCTGGAGTCTTTCTGCTGGTTCCAGCAGCTGTGCTCGCTAGCATCTACATTCTGCTCTTGACAAGCTTTGAGGGATGAGACTGTCACCTAATAGCGGGGTATCTTCTGCAGCCACCGTCAGGGGCCCTATCTCTGTCTTGCATAAGGTGCTCCTGCAAAGTCACACTATTTCAGAAAAGGCCCAATCTCTCCCCCAGAATACACTGCACATTAATAAAATCAAATATATTGTCCCTGAGACACTGGAAGTTCAGGACTCCTTTGGAAAAAATTAGGAAGTGCTCTGTATGTGGCTTGTTCAGAGTGATTTTTGCAGCAACTTGACTCGTGCTGAAGCTTGGGGTAGAAGAAGAATCTCTGCATAAGCATCAGAGTCACTGTTTCATGCCTGTGCTGTTGTGGTGAGCTGTAGCTTGTGCGGGTGTCTTGCTGAGGGAAGGAGGAGTGACCGTAACAGTAACTTGAGGAGGAAGGAGTGACCTTTGGACGGATCTTCCCTGCAATGCAAATGTAAAAATTGCTTTTTCAGATGTTTGAGTCTCAGGCCCTGTCATTTTGGTTATCTACCTTTAGCAAACCAAACAGCTAATTTTACTTACTTTACTACAGACTGGATAAACCACAGGGATGAAGGTCTTATCACGATATCAGATTCCTCAGATGAAGAATTACCTTTGTTGCAGCAGATGCCAGCAGAGCAGCAGCATGAGGAAGACGATGATGTAGTCATCCTGGCAGAGGTGATTTTTCCGTCTTGTACTTGCCCTGCTTTATTCATGGCCTTTACAGCCAACTGGTGTGCAAATATCTGATGCATTCCTTCGAGAGTCCTGTCTGGTTACGGTAATTTACTGAGGGTATCTGTTGAAACTATGGCATTTTGCTGGCATTAAGTATTTAATCCTACTTTGGGCACAGGAGAGGAGAACTAGGCTGTTGAACTGCATTGTAATTAAACTTCTTCTTAACGAAGGATGTAGCTTCCAGAAAGTTATCTAAATCCAGAGAGATGGAGTGCTTTGTGAGGTGACTTGGCGTTCCTTAGAAGGCAGATTTTCAAAACGTGCCTTGTGTGACCTTGTATGCTTTGTATTCCTCTCTGCTGTTTGGGTTCTTGGTGGCTGTTGCAGGCACTTACATTCCTGCAGTTTTGCAAAGCCAGTCCACCTGGTAAATCTCTTTCCACTGCACAGGCAGTCACACAGAGGAGGGCCAAAGGCTTTAGCTTACCCTGATTAAGCGTCTAATTTCATATCTAAGCTATATTAAGGATATGTTCCACTTTTCCGTTAAGGTAACTAGAGACATGGCAAAAATGGGTTACGAAGCTGACTTCTCTGTTTCTTAGTTGAGAACAGAGAATATTCAGACTTGGCTGACACACAGGAGTCTGACTGCCAGAGGCAAGAGTATGCAGCTTTGGATCCTGACTTGTTTAAATAAATCTGCAAGAATGCCAATATGCCATCCATTAGTTCCTCCTTCCCAGACTATTATCCTAGGAGCGTAGCAGGAACTGAGGTGAGCATAGGAAAGTCCTGTGCATCCTCAGTTCTGCTAAATCTTCTCTTAGTACCTGAGGACAGTGAGACAAATCTATGCGGGTTGCAGTTTTATGTGGTATTAAGCACCTTGCTAAACAGGCTTTTCCTCTGTTTCCTATCAGAAATTTGATCAGATGCAAAAGGTCATATGGAGCAAAGAGTCTGACATGCAGGTGGAGAACTCCAACTTACTCTTGTCTGTCTTCTTTTTAGACCCCAAAGCATCAGCAGCTTCTGCGTCCCAATGTCATCAGACCTGCTGCTCAGTGGCAGGGCACAAACACCGTGGGAGAAGGGGGCTCTAAAAGTGCTTTTGAGCCTGTGAGGAGCATCTATGTGCAAGATGAGGTCTCAACTCCTCTGTGCCAGGGAGACCAGTACAATCATGAGGTAGAGAGCAGTGCTGGACCAAGCAGGGATGAGAGTATGAACTTTGCCTTGCAGCAACCTGGACCATCTGAGCTTAATGGCCCCGAGCTTGAACTTACAAGTAACCAGAAGCCTGGCCCAAGTTTGCTCCCAGCAACAAACACAAGTTCACAGCCTGTCGTTAACAGAGAAGTCATTAGTCTGGAGGATGCAGACAGTACACCACAATGGAAAGAAGAAGTGGAAGCCCAGGGAAGGCAAGGAGAGGACTTGGAGCCAAAGCAAAACCTGGGAGGAACAGATGCTGCAGCCTCCACAGACCAGGAGATCCACCAGAGCAGCCAGCTGGATCACCCATCCCTCCAGCCACTGGAGGACGAGCAAATGCTTGTGCTCCTCAGCAGGGGCAGCCTGAGGAGGACCCAAGATCTTCGAGGGCGTATGGAGAGGAGACTCCTGGGCCAGCCTTCCCCCGACCTGAACCGCAGCAGGATGGGATTCCGGGTCCCGCTTCGCCCCAGCAGGCGCATCCGCCAGAGGAAATGGGTCAGCAGGCAGCGCTAGACAATGAGCAGCCAGGGCCAGCGTTCCCCGCCCAGCGCTCTCCCGAACTTGACTCTAGTGATGTGCCAGAACAAGTTGCTGCTGGGCAGGACCAAGACTTTACTGCACTGCTCATCAGAGAGACAGTAAGTATTCACAGGGCTTGTTTGCCTTCTGCGTGAATGTCGTGAGTTAAGGCTGGGCCAGCCTCTAACACAGACAGACGC